TATCAGAAGGATACTTGTGCCCCATGCTTATTGCAGCACTATTCATAATAGAAAAGATATGGAATTCATGTAAGCATCCATCAGCTGATGAATGGATTAAAAAATGTGGTATATACACAAAGTGGAATACTATTCGGCCATAAAAAAAAATGGAATAGTGTTATTTGCAGCAACATGGATGGAACTGGAAGACATTACATGAAATAAACCAAGTACAGAAAGAGGAATGTTACATGTTTTCACTCATATGTGGGAGCTCAGAAAGTTGATCTTTTGAAGGTAGAAAGTGAAATAATGGATACCAAATGTTGGGAAGAGTGTGTGAGTGAGAGGGAGACATGAAGAGAGGTTGGTTAATAAGTGTAAACATTCAGTTAGATAGAAGTTATAGCTTTTAATGTTCAATAGCGGAGAAGGGTGACTGTTGTTAGCAGAGAAGGGTGATGTGTTGTACATTTCAAAGGAGCTAGAAGAGAGGACTAGAAATGTTCCTAACACATAGTAATGATAAATGCTCAAGGTGATGAATACCCAAGATGCTCCCTTCGTAACATACTCTATGCATGTAACAAATATTCACATGTATTCTGCAAATATGTAAAACATTATGTATCAATAAAACAAATACCTAAAAAATTCCTTGAAATTTGGAAATTAAATAACAATGTTCCATATAATCTATGGGTTAAAGAAAAAATATTTTGAACTATGTAAACAGGTTATCAAAATTTGTGGAACATGGTTACAGTAGTTATTAGAGAGGAGTTTATAATTTTAAATGCTTATATAAGAAAAAAGAAATCTAAAAATCAATGAGTAAAAATTTGACTTTAAGAAATTAAAGAAAAAAGAAGAGAAAAATAAATCTAATGTACATAGAAGGAAGGAAATAGTAAAGGTAAGAGCTAAAATCAACAAAGTAGAAAATGTGTAAGTAATAGAAAAAAATCAGTGAAACTAAAGTCTGATCCTTTGAATTGATTTTTAAAAATTGGTGAACCTCTAACCAGACAAAGAGATAACAAGAAAATAAAAATGTAGACCAATAATATTAATGAGTATAGACACAAATATCCTGAACAAATTTTGGCAAATCAAATCCAACAGTGTATCAAATGTATAATACACTACATGGACCAAGTAAGCTTTAACCCAAGAATGCAAGGCAAGTTTAATAAATAGTTCAATTAACTAACAGAAAAAAGGAGAAAAACCATATAATAATTTCGACTGATACAGAAAAACATTTGACAAAATTCAATAGTCACTCATGGTAAAATAAACAATTTCGAATGAACTAAAAATAGAAGGAATTTCTCAATTAATAAAGGGAGTTTAATGAAACAACTAACGTCCTACTTAAAGGTACAAGACTGATTGCTTTGGTTTATGATGAACAACAAGGATGGGATACTAAATTTTAGCATTTGTATTCAATGTTGTACTGGGCATCCTATCCAGTGCAATAAGGCAAGACAAATAAAAGAAGCAGAGCATGTAGAAAATCCTAAGGAAACTGAAAAAGAAAAACTACTAGAACGAATAAGTAAATTTAGCCATGTTGCAAAATGTGAGGGTACTGCACAAAATTCCACTGTATTTCTCCATACTAGCAATGAACAACTGGAGACAAGAACTCAAAAATAATTCCATTTATGAAATATCAAAAATAAAATACTACGGGATTCATTTTTAAAATTATGTATAATACTGCTATGTTGAAAGTTACAAAATATTGCTAAGAAGAATTAAAGAATACCTAAATTAATGGAGAAATATAACATGTTCATAGATTAGAGGAATCAATATTATTATGTCAGTTCTCCTTAAATTGATCAGTGGATTCAAGGCACTCTTAATTAGAAAAGTGAATTTTTATAACATTGACAAGCGAATTCTGAAATTTACATGGAAGATGAAAACCAAATAAAAACAAAAGCAGAAGAGTTAAACATATTTTGAAAAAAAAATAAAAGCAGCACAACTGGAAGACTTATTACACCTAAGTTGGAGTCCTACTGTAAAGTTAGAGTAATCAGAGCAGTATAGTTTTGGCATAGGAATAGAAATATAGATCAAATGAAAGGAATAATGAGTGAATCCTGAAATAGACTCACTCATCCATGGCCAATTGATTTTTGATAAAGGTATCCAGTTACTCAATGGGAAAAAAGGTAATCTTCTCAACAAATGGTGACAAAACAACTGGATATCCATGTGGACAATAATGAACTTCGGCCCTTACTTCATACCATACACAAAAGTTAACAGCAAATAGATCGTAGACCTAAATATAACAGCTAAAACCATAAGCTTCTATAAGAAACCATAGAAAATCTTCATGACCTTGGGGTAAGCAAAGATTGCTCATGTAAAACCTAACAAGTATAACCACAAAAAAAACCCCACACTTGATAAATTGGACTTCATCAAAATTAAAAACTGCTGTTTGAAAGACACTATTAAGAAATTGAAAGACAAGAAACAGACCGGGAGTGTATATTTGTTATATATATATATCTGACAAATGCCTGGTATATAAAGAACTCCTACAACTCAATAATAAGAATCCAAATACTTGATTAAAAATTGGGCAATAAATTCAGACACTTTATCAAAGAACAGCTGGCATGAGAGCACATGAAAAGCTGGTAAACATCTTTTATTGTCACCATCATTAGTCAGTAGGGAAACGCAAATTAAAACCATGATGTGATACCACTATATACTCACTAGAATGGTAAAAATAAGAAGACAGAAACTACCCAGTTTTGATGAGGATGTGAAGCAATTATATCTTGCTGGTGAGAATGTAAAATGTTTTCACTTTGGAAAGCAGTTCATCTCTGTATATAGTTAAACACACAGTTACTGTATGAATAATTTTACTACTGTAAATAAGAAAAATAATAATGTATGTCCATAAAAGGACTTGTTCAAGATTGTTCCTAGCAGCTTTATTCATAATAACCCCATATTGAAAACATCCCCAATGTCCATCATTTGGTAAACTGGTAAACAAATTGTGGTATATCCATACAATGGAATACTACTCAGCAATAAAAAGGAACAAACATCAGATACAGGCACAACATTAATGAGTTTCAAAAACATTGTGTAGAGTGAAGGAAGTCAGACACAAAGGAATATGTAAGTGATTCCATTCATATGAAATGCTAGAAAAGACAAATCTAATCTGTAGTTACAGAAAACAGCTAAGTGGGCCAAATATGGGGTGGAATAGAGGTTGACTTTAAAGGGGTGCAAGACAACCCTCTGGGGTGATGGAATTGTTCATTATCTTGATTGAAGCAGTGGTTACATGTGTGTACATTATTCAAAACTCATGAAGCTGTACAATTAATATGAGTGTAATGTATTTGTAACTTATGCCCCAATAAAATTGATTTAAAAATTAAAAGGAAAGTGGGGCGACCAAGTTTCGTAAAGCAAAATGTCTTTGGGTAATAAGTGGCATGAACTAACGGCCAATTTCCTTAGAAAACAGCCAAATGGATTAATCACCTCTAGAATTATTTGTGCCTGTGCTGCCCAGATCAAAGTTCCAATTCCTGGCAGAAAGGGTCTGAGGGGCTTAGCTTAGGTCAGGTGCTCTCTTCTGGACAGGGAAAAGGTGGACCATCCTGACTGAGCTTCCCGCCCAGACTGCTGTCCTTGTGGCAGGGGTGGTATCTCAAAGGTAAATGGAGGTACTGTTACCAGAGAAGGGGCAATGATGACTGCTAAACAAACAAACAAACAAACACCAAAATAGTCTTCCCCTGCGTGTTCCCAGGGAGAGTAAAGAGGATGGTGAGGGGCTTCAAACATATCTATGTTCATTCATTCCATTCATTTATTCACTCAAACATAATACGGAGTCTGTACTATTTTCCAGGAGGGTTATTGAGTAGGGACGCGAATGCTCTTGAAGTCTCTCTCTAAAAAAAAAAGAGTTCTTATTAATGGGAGGAAGAGAAGCCTGGTAGGAGACGATTATCTGGAGTGGTTATGGGGCGCAGCCTGTTTTTGTTTTTTGTGGGGAGAGGGGGATAGAATTCAACGACATAAGAAAGAACTTTGCAGCAATCAGATTTGTACCTTTTGGGGTCCTGTAAAAGCTGGAAAACTCTTTAGTCTGGAAGAGGAAGATGGACAGACAGAGAAGCAGATTCCAGAATTCACGTCCTGTCCAACCCACAAATGGAAGAGCCCGTTCATGGTTTGAACATTCCATCACTGGGCCTCCCGGGGCCTCCTCGGCGAGTCGGCAGAGGGAGCTATTCCCCAATAAATCGCCGCGCGAGGCCTCGGAGGACCTGGGGGGATTTTCCTGCGCGTCCCGGGAGTTTTCTCTCCGCCCCGCCTTGATAAAGCAGACTATCCCACCCTCCACCCCCTGCCTTCACCTCCCCGCCCCACCTTTCCGTGTACTTTGCTGCCGCATCACATTCTCTGGCACGGCTTAATCACCATCCTTTCTGGATCCCACCTTTGCGCTTTCTCCCCTGACACCACTGAGGACCCGCCGTCCGCTCCAGTTGGCCGCTCGGGCGCGGCCACCATCCCACAAATCCTTACAGAGGGTCTAGAACACCTCCCAGGGACTTTGACGAGGGACTCGCATCCAACGTGGGTTGGGAATCAGGCGGGCACCCACTCTGACACCCCTTCAGTCACCTCCTGCGGTGACCCCAACATTTGCTAACTTCGCGACCAGGCCTTTTGCCAGGTCACCCACCAGGCAGTAGAAGCCGCTCAGGCAGGGGCGACTCACGATCGAGGTGCAGGAGTCGGGCCGGTAAGATCCTGCGTGTTGCGCTAGGGACAGAGCGCGGCGCCAAGCGACAACCCCCCAGCGGCCACTGTCCCGGCAGCAGCAGCTGCAGCAGCGGCAACTGCTCGAATCCCGGCCCCGGCTCGGGTTACCCGCCCCCCCAGCATCTCGGGCCAGACAGAGAAAACCTTGTTCAAGTTTGCAGCAAGTACTTTCCCCGTGCGCAAAACTGGGGGACTGGGAACGCGCTGAGACGTTCCTCTTTCCCGCGTCTCCACCTTTACGCCTGAAAGAAGACTCCCAAAGATCGCTTTCTTCTGGGACACTGCTTGGACGCTAACCGCGCGATTGGAACAGATTTTGTGTCTTGGCTGGCTTTGGGTGAAGACCGGGGAGAAAAGGCTGCGCTGCGATTCTCAAGATCTCTGGACTTGGGTAAGAGTTGGGCAAACTCAACCCGGGCGGCTGCTGGACCTTGGCCGGACGCCGGAAGGCTTCTCATGGGCGGGGGGCACATTTTCCTTAGCCAGGGTACCGGGGTGCGAGGTGGGGCGAGATGGGCTCAGTCTGCGTTTGTCATGGGCTTCTCGAGGGTTTATTGTTGTTTGCATTTGGTTTTGTTACATGGGATTGTGTAGGAAAATCTTGGAGTATTTTTGATGGAGAGACATCCTCATTACGCATTTTATTTTGCATAATTCCTACTCTTGTATTGCCTTGCCCGTGTTTGTTTCCTTTTGCCGAGGGATATAGCTGGTTGTAGGGAGATTTGTGGGGAATCGGACTGAGGTTGAAAGGCAGTTTCAGCTGGGCCCTTTTTTCCAGGTCAGTTGAACTTCCTCTCTGGGATCTTCACTCTTTTCTAAACTTCTCTTTCTCCAGTCCTTGGTATTCAGATCGTGCAGATAACGCTCTAGGCTTGCGGGATGCTCCCCCTTCCTGAGTTCTCAACGATCAGTAGGGATGTGAGGTCGCAGTCTTAGACCAAAGGGGCCTTGTCAGTATGCTTGGCTCCTTAGGGAGTGCTGGGAGGGACGGTTTTTCAAGTAATAGTTAAGAAAGATAAATCCGGTGTTATCTTTTTCTCTTAAATTTCTTTGTTAGAGGACTTTTACGCCTGGTTTAGGGAAGTGTTTTGTCCTTATTTTTCTTTCTGGAAGTATTTTCCTTAGTGACACTACTGAGTAAATGAATGATGGCAATATCTTGCTGCTTCTTTAGAAAATATGCTCGTGCAAGGATCCACATTCTTTAGGAGAAAGTCAAAGCTGGAGATTTTGTTAGCCAAAATTAGCCATTATTATTGTTCTTAGTCAGTGATAACCAGGCTGTGCCAAGGCAGAAGAGAATGACATTTCTTCTTGGTTCTTGCCTTACTCCTTTATATCCTGGGACTCCCTTTGTGTATAGGTTTCCCAAATACAAATGCTTCATTCCTTATGGACAAAAAGACTGGAGTCAACTTATATTATCCAGAAATGTCATCTTCCTAACGTGAGTGCTCCAAGAGGTCAGCTTGCTGGGAACTTTTAATTTTACCACTGAGAGGTCAAAGAGTTCAGTTGGTAAACTCTGGGCACGCGCCAGCCTGAGTTCAGCTCACAACTCTGCCACTTTCCAGTTGTGTGATTTTTGGGGTAAGTTACTTAACCTGTTTATCCACATATGTAAAATCAAAATGATAATAATAACACTTACATCAGAGGACTGTTAAAGGGATTAAATAAGTTAATGCGTGTGAAGGACTAACAAGCCTGACACATAGTAGGCATGAATTAGCTATTATTATTATTGTATAGCTAGCATTAACTATTGTTGTATCCCTCTAGTATAGCTTCTATTAGCTGTCAGTAAGTGTTAGCTATTATTCCCATTTGGATGGACTTTGAAGGCTGTGCTCATCTGTAAGCTTCACTACCACCTATTGTCACACTTAGCTCAGACATGATCTTTGTATTGCTCTTTTGTTGTGGCACTTTCAGTAGGAAAAATAAAGGTGCATGTGGCAGAGCTGGAATTTATAGCGTGGTGGGTCATGGATACTTGGAACAGGTGATGAGGTGGGAATTCTACACTCAGTTCACAGCCTGTATACCTCCTTGGAAATCCTTTGCATTAATATACTTTCTTTAACCTATTTTTTAGGGGTCACTTACTTGTTCAGTAAGTATTTATTAAACATCTATTACATGTCAAACACTGTTTTAGGTTTTATATTTTAAAAATGGCTATGTATGAGTATTGGCTTTATGTGCCTCCGCCATTTCAAGTGTGTGACCTAGCACTCTATAGATTAAATTCCAAGTATTTTTAGCCACACAATTTCCATACTCGTTAAAATGCACGTAAGAGCACATTAAAAGTGCATATCATTGAGAAATTGAACAAAATATTCCCTATGACCTCAAGCAGATTGCTTTTCTCCATTTAGGCATCAGTTTTATTATGTAGAAACTTGTATTGAGAGGTGGGGAAAGAGTGGAATAATCTCCAGTGTTCCTTCTGGCTCCAAAATCCTTAAATTAGCTGCCTTACTTCATTGTTGGCTGTTTTTGAACCCCCTCTTTTCTCTTTAGCTTTTGTTTTAGGTACATAAATTATGTTACTTCCATCTTTGCATATTACTCAGAGTGAGTAATAACATCGATAATTAATGAAAAGGGAAAAGCATTTACCTCTGTCTGTATTTCACTAACTATTCTCAGACTTTGGTTTATACCAGAAGCATGAAGTGGGGATATTTGTTAAAATATTAGAGTGAACTATGAGGAATTGTTGATATTTGACCATTTTTGACCTAAATAAATGGCAATTTTGTATGGTTCAAACTATATAAACCTTAACCCCTTCTGCCTTGATTTGGATGTAGTAAGTTTTCTGTGAGTTGTGAGAAGTCTGCATTTTTACAAGTTCCCCAGGTGATTCTAATGCAAAACCCAAGTCACATGCTCATTTAGCAGCAGTGAATTTACCTTCTTTGGGATTGTCTGCTTGGTCTAATAGTGTATTTCTAAAATGCAAATCTGATCATGTTACTCCCTTGTTTAAAAATCTTTGGCAGCTCTCTGGATGGTGAATGTCAGTGTTACCTGGGTGCATGTTGAAAATATACATTCCAGGGCTTCACCCCAGATGTAAGGGCCAGTAGTCTGCATTTTGAGATCTCCAAGTGAACCTGGTAGAGGTGACCTCAGATCACATTTGGAAAAACACTGACTTGTAAGTCTCACCTCCTTACCATGATACACAAGACCACCTTTGCAGCACTTCTTAGGGTTATTTTCTGCTTCTCTGGTCCCCAGCTCTCCAGCCCGCACTGATCTTGATCTTGTTACTGTCTCAAGAATACGTTGTGCACTCTCACTCTTCCATGACCCAGCTGTGTGTGCTGCTCCTTCTGCTGACAATGCCTTTGACCCTCTTTCCTGTCTAACCAACTACTTACCACCCATTCATCGTTTAAGACACTATTCAAATCTCTTTGAAGACTTTCCCTCTGAAGCTTCTCTCAATTCTCTCATAAACTTAGCGATATGTCATGTGAGTTCCCATTCTTGTGGATAGCTTTAATATAGCATTTCTCACATTGTATCAGCTATGTTTATTACCTGAATGTTTATCCTGAACGGATTGGTGAGTTCATCATTCCTTATTGTAAGCTCTTATACAAGTGACTGACCCCATTACATAGTTATGTAATAAATGCCTAAAGAATGTTGGAGAAAAGTAAATGGATGAATGATAGTCAACATTTTCTTAGCACATTTTGTTAGCACATAAAGTGGTTGGGACAGTATTGTATACATATGAAGGGTGTGGAAAAGCCAGTTGAGAATTTCCAATTTGGCTGGACATAGACTAGAGAATTAATAACTTCGAGTGGGGCTGGGCATGGTGGCTCACACCTGTAATCCCAACACTTTGTGAGGCTGAGGTGGGAAGATTACTTGAGGCCAGGGGTCCTAGGCCATCCTGGCCAACATGGCAACACCCTGTCTCTACTAAAAACACCAAAATTAGCCGGGAGTGGTAGCACATGTCTGTAATCCCAACTCCTTGGGAGGCTGAGGCACAAGAATCACTTGAGCTTGGGAGGCAGAGGTTGCAGTGAGCTGAGATCATGACACTGCACTCCAGTCTGGGTGACAGAGTGAGACTCTGTCTCAAATAATAATAATAATAAATAATAACTTGGATTGGAAAAGGACAAGACAAAATATCCAAGGAGGACTTATGAAACACCAAATGTCACTGAATTAATGTTACATGTTGAACATTATTGCAGGACGTATAATGAAGAACTGAGCTTATCCTTTAGGATGGTTTTGGTTTGGTTTTTGGAATGACAGTGTCAGAGCACTGGAATGGAAGTGCCAATGCCAATAAAAATAACCAACTTTGCTCTGTGCTTTTCCGTTTATAAAACACTTCTGCCTCTCTTTTTGATTAGAAACATGGTGACTGGTTCAATACTGTCTTTCCTTCTTTCCTGAAAGGACACATTCCTGAAAATAGGTCTGAAGATTGTATAAAAGCCTACATATTATAAGGGATTCTGGCCCTAGAGAGCCAAATATATTATGAAATCTCTAATTATGCCTTGCTATTTAGACACAGCATTCAGTGTATACTCCTTTTTCTAATTTTTCTTTCTTTAAGCTTTCCACAATTTTGGTTATTTTCTCCTCATTTCAACAACAGTTGACCAGTTCAAGTTCAATAAATGTCTGATTCAGATGAAAAGATTTGCCATTTTTGGCATATCTAATAACTTCTACCTTTGTCTTACTTGAGTTTATGAGACAAACACTTCTCATAATTACTATTAGGCTTTTAATTTTCCCATTTCCCATTCACTTTTTTGTAATAATGAAAATATGCAATAACATTTGAATAAGTGTATGAATAATTCTCCAGGTAATGACAAAGATGGTGATTCTGCAAAAATTGAACTATTGGCTTATGGGCAGCTGCACCATAAAATAAAAACAAAAAAAGTTCATTCATTGGCTGGCATCTGAGTGTCAACACAGGGCAGGGAGGTAGTAGCATCAATAGATGTAGTACAAATATCCACATTGATGGACTTCAAACGAAGCAATATTGAGGACTGCCTATGCTCTCACTTTTCTCAAGCGTGTGTACTGTACCCAGTATCTGGTTTCAATAGTTTAATTTTAAGAATTAATGTAAGATTCACTGGGTTCTGTTGATTTGTCTTCTTTTAAAATTTTGTTTCTGAAATGAACTTTTTGTAGCTTAGTATAAGCCTGTATCATTTTCTGCCAACCTTTGGAAGTCTTTTAACTGGCCTCCTAATCTCTTTATTCAGTTATTCATTCATTCTTCATATCTGAATGTCCTGAAATTTTAATTTATCTTTTGTCTCTCTTTACCATTTTAGATTATTGTTCACCATGATCATTCTAACTCTTTTTAAATATAGTTATTGCAGAGGACTAATTTAGAGCATTTAATAAAAGGATTTCTCATACTATGAGGGAAAAAAGAAGGTACAAACCAATGTTATATTTTACTTTACAGAACTTTATTTGTGGAACGGCAAGTCACTGTGTGGGTGTTATTTGATAATACAAACTGTGGCATTAGCCAATCTGGAAAGTGTGAATGTGATAATGCATCCTGTTATTATGGTTGTTCATTTTTAGCAATTTCCTCTCATTTCATTTCTAGTTATTTATCCTCCCAAATAAAGAAACTATGTACAGCATTTAACCACCTCAATTTCCTACTCAGAGGGCAATAAATTGTACCCCTTCCCACTTCTAAGACAAAGAAAACAGTATTTCAGTATGGAAAACTTCATCTTGATAGGTACATGTACAGGATATTAGCATCTGTTAAAAACATCTTATCTTTGGGAACATCCTAGAGGATGACTAAGTACCTTGTCATTAACGTCTCGTCTGACCCAGATGAGCTGTACAGATTTGGCTGGTTCTCAACATAGCCACAGGTGGTGGTTCCCAAGATGGATCTTTTGAATACCTTCTGCTGAAGAATTTTGTCTTTTTTTAAGAAATAATTTTTTGATGGCAAATTGAAAACCAAATCACACAAATTTAACTTGTTCCTCACAGAGTGAAATAGAACTATGAAATTTTTGCTTGGTGGCACAGAAGACTAGTCGTACAATCAAAACAAAAAAATTTAAAGATCCACCCCTATTGACGTCTTGAGAAAAGTACTTGAGTTTGGATGAAGAATTGATAAAAAGATGTGACTTGGTTCTTTGAAAAAGTAATAGGTTGGAGTTATACTTTTTGTTCCACCAGTTTTTTTTTTTTTTTTTGAAATGGAGTTTCATTCTTGTTGCCCAGGCTGGAGTGCAATGGCGCAATCTCAGCTTACTGCAACCTCTGCCTCTGGGGTTCAAGCGATCCTCCTGCCTCAGCATCCCAAGTAGCTGGGATTACAGGTGCATGTCAACATACCTGACTAAGTTTTGTATTTTTAGTAGAGATGAGGTTTTACCATATTGGCCAGGCTGGTCTCGAACTCCTGACCTCAAGTGATCCGCCCGCCTCAGCCTCTCAAAGTACTGGAATTACAGGCATGAGCCACTGTACCTGGTCGTTTATCAGATATTTATTAGCAGTGTAGGGCATAGGGATAAATACCATGTGTAATTACCAAGAAGCTCTTGCCTTCAAGTAAAAAACAGATTAAAAAAGTACACATTACATGCCTGTATAAAATATCTCATGTAACCCATAAATATATACATCTACTATGTACCTTCAACAATTAAAAAAAAATACAACTAAGCAGGTAAGCCTGGGCATAGTAAGAGCCAAGTGGCAGTTTTGAGACCTGCCACAAGAGCTCACTGGAGGCTTCCTGGCAGTGTGGGACCTTGACGGAGAGATTTGAATGGATGGGGCATCTTAGGTGGGGGAATGGGCTCAGCAAACATGTGGTGGCAGGAATTTACAAGGCATCGTCAAGCAATAGTGATTAAACCATTCCACAGTAGTGGTGAGCTTACATTTGAGAATCATTTTATGATAGGCACTTACGGGACCTGCCCATCCCCATAGTACTATCTGTGTTAAAGGAACCCTTCCCATTATACTGCAGTTATTTTATAGAAACTAGATGAGATTAGGGAGACCTATTGAGATTCAAGTAAAAGTTGGCTAGAAATCTTCCTCCCTATTCCATGAGAAGGTGTAAAATGAGAAAACTGTTCTTCCTTTCAACCACTATGGGATTCTTGGGGCCAGAGATGGAGACAAAGCTCATATTTCTTCTAGTGTCACCTGGATCTGAATTCATATTTTCCCTTAAAAAGTTTAAAGATGATCCAAAGCCACCCACCCAACCACGAATAACCTTCACTTCATAAAATGCCACCAAATGTGTGACTTGAGTAGTAGAATTTTAAGGTTTGGGACTATGGAAAGAGTTCATATCTTAACACTTAAAACTAAACATGAAACATCCTTGCTTTCTAACAGTTCATCTACCATTGCCACTTTCTTACCACCCATCTTTTTCTGAAGGCTACCATCTCCATCAGGTGGCTTCAGCGCTGTCCTGCTGTCCCTGCATTCCTCCTCTCTTGCTCATTGATGACCTGCCCCCACATTCCTATTGTCGTCTGAAGCCCTCATCATTCTCACCTGTCTTCTTCCCAGGTGTTTCTTCCTCCAACACCAAGATTTGACAGTGTAAATTATTTGTCCTTCCAGTATCCTCCCTGCTTTCAGTTGGTTCCTTAAACAGATGTGCAAAATCAGACCATGAGTGAAGTTAGAAATGCTTGAGGCGTGTTTACCCTGTGCTCTGACTTTAGAGGCATGAGAATCACCTGCAGATACTGTCTCCTCCCTAGATTTTGATTCAGTAGGTGCATAGTGGGGTCCCAGGATGTATATTTTTAACAAGGTGTACTGGTGCAGGTGGCCCATATATGCATGATACTCCTTGTTAGACTTATAGTGCCCCATTCAAAAGGCATGCGTTTTTTGTGTGTTTTTAAATTTTAGTGACTTGGCCAGAGGGGGTCACAGAGAATAGCGGGTCTGTGAGAACCCGTGCCTCTCCTCTCTACTTGAAGGGACAATGGCTGTAACACAACGCTGTTCATGTGACAGCCGGAGAAAGGGACCCATTGTTCAGGGGTTGGCTGATGTGCCATTCTGCTGCGGCCAGCCGTCCAACTGAGCTTGGTAGCCCCAAGGAAACAGACACACTTAAATCAGAGAGACAAAGAAAGGAGGTCAAGGCCTTCCACAGTTAAACTACTTGCAGCAATGTGTCAGAGATAGGATTTGGGAAGGAAAAAAGTAATTCCGAGGAAGCATCATAAATCCTCTGGTTTTGGAGCTGCAGACATGGCGTTGGGGGAACACAAGTCTGTCAGAAAGCCAGTGGATCTTTGGCCAAGGAAGAATTATTTTCTACTGCGTCACACTGATTGCAGAACTTATCTGATTGCAGGATTTTATTACTGATTTTAAAAATAAAAAAGGCTCCCTGAATCTCCAGGCTCATCAAAGGTACCTGATCTGAAAGCCTGCCTAAATCAAGGTCTATGACTTCAGAGAACAATTCTGTGTTCCTGGAAATGGTCACTGTGTATATGATATATTAATAATTCCCTTCCACATCGAGATAGCTGTTTTGAAGCTAAGAAGTTTTTGAGTATGAAATACAATGAGCACCATTAGAAAGTTATTGATAAGTTTGGACAGTTATGAGGCTGGGGGACTCTCCAGATGCTGTTTAGATACCCTCCCTCATCCCTAACTTTCAAATTGGATTCTAGCCCTGGAGGGAAAGGGTTGCAAACTTCCTGTAAAGATCTAATCCCGAGCCCAACAATTGCTTACATTCTTTGTGTCAGAAGAAGATTCAAATTCAAGGTCACAGCCTTTGCAAAGGTCGCAGACTTTTTCCACAGGATTGTTCTTTTAGCCTGATTACTCCCTTTATGAAAAAGTATGTCATTCATTCAGCCTTTGCCTCTGGGTTTCTTTCAAAGGGAGACTTAGTTCCTAGTTCCTGTGGATACTCGTAGGTGGCTTTTCTTTTCTTTTCTTTTTTTTTTTTTTTTTTTAAGTTAGGCACAGAATACAGACACGAATGAGGCAGAACAGGGAAAGCCTTTTCTGGATGTGATGGGTTCTGGAGAGCCCATTTACACCAAATGTTAGGCAGCTGGTGTTCACTGGCCAGTAGGAATCCTTTTGTCTCTGAGATAAGAGGTTTGTATCCAGGAGAGGGCAATATGTGATTTGCTTGAGGTCACTTAGAGCTCTTAGTAATTAAGTCTGTCATTGTACCTTGATTATAGATTATCATTGCAAATCCATTAAAGAAGGAGGAGCAAGTGGATTTCAGAGAGGCAAGTGGCTTTATTTTCTTCATTAGGTTTTCATTCCCCCCCGCCTTACATTTTGTTTCTCCTTTACTAAATGGTTTTGCCAATGATATAGATGACTTTGAAGTGGAGAATGGGAAGAGGAGACTTCGTGGGTGGGAAAAGGATTGTGCTAAACACTCTCCTGATTAGTTCATTAATTTTCAATTTGTTGCCATTAGGCCTGTTCATTTGGCTCCCCATTTGTGTGATATAGAGTGGCTTGCCCTCAGTGCTTCAAGGCCTGAATACTGCGCTATCCTTGAAGTTCTGTGTAGGTGCAGCACTTTTTGAAAAAAATAGGAAAGTTAAATGGTCCCTTTTATTGTTTTTGTTTGTGTCCCAAGTAGTACATATAATACTAAATGATTTTGTAGGCATAATATGCTTAATGGGACTTAGTTTTGTGTCAGAATAAGGGCCCTGCCCAATGAGGGCTTCTGGGATGCTGACATTACATTTAATCTGAGTACTGGTTGTATGTGTATATTCAGTTTGTGAAAACTTATTGACTTGTTCAATTTTGATTTATGGCTTTTCTTTCTGACTGCATTTTACACTTCGATAAAAAATTCAAAAATTAAAGCCCCATGTTTAATGTAGAATTAAGAATCTATCATGATGGGAAACTGGAAACTCTCACATAATTTGAATCCTGGTGCAGCTGGGAGGGCCTAGAGCTTTAAATACCCATCAATTCACCCTAACTTCTATAGCCAGAGAGCTGTGTGTCAGAATGCAATGCATTAGCACCATCATAGGTGATTGCTTTACTTCTCTAGGCAGCGAATCCAGTGCCTAAGAGATCAATAGTGTTAGCAGAGCCCCACTCTTTAGAATTTAAAACAAATGCACCCCTCTGAGTTGGCCAAGTAGCAAATCTTTTCATTCCCACTTTCCACCCTCCTCCCATTCATTTTAATCTGTCAGGAGAAATCAGAAGACTCTACAGATTATGGATGTTTTCCTGAACCTTTGGATGACATCTCTCTTATAGTCTAATATTAGAATGCTTTGTTTCCCTCCAATTTCTGTAACTGGGATGAGTTGATATGGGGGGGTGAAGTCTTTGGCTTATCTCCGTCACTCATTTCCACTGACACTTCCTGACTCCTCAGTGAGCCACAGGAGCAATACCTGCAAGCCCATGCTTCCAGTCCCAGAACAACCTGTTGTCCTTTTCCTCTTAAGAAGACCCTTGCCATCCATGTGCCATCCATCCAATGTGGCGCTGCATACATTACACCAAAGTGAGTCATGAGTCATTGTACTGATAGAACATTCCAGCTTGCTTTTATAATATGGAGCTGGTAGACTCAAATGGAGAAAATAGGAGCATTTTTTTTTCTCCGAAAGAAAATTTGGGCCTTTCGTTTTGAAATGGGTGCAGCACATCTATGAGAGGTCTGAGTACTCAATGTGTACCCTTCATTTTGGTCATTGGACTTACAAGTTGGATGTTGATTTACGCGAACTCATGTGATTAAAGTTGTGGGTTAGCTTCTTCTCCGAGAAAACACCAAATGGCAGATGACGCTGGTGCAGTGGCGGGGAGTGGGGTGGCCTGGTGGCCCTGGGATGGGGAACCGCGGTGGCTTCCGCGGAGGTTTCGGCAGTGGCATCCGGGGCCGGGGTCGCGGCCGTGGACGGGGCCGGGGCCGAGGCCGCGGAGCTCGCGGAGGCAAGGCCGAGGATAAGGAGTGGATGCCCGTCACCAAGCTGAGCCACTTGGTCAAGGACATGAAGATCAAGTCCCTGGAGGAGATCTACCTCTTCTCCCTGCCCATTAAGGAATCTGAGATCATTGACTTTTTCTTGGGGGCCTCTCTCAAAGACGAGGTTTTGAAGATTATGCCGGTGCAGAAGCAGACCCGTGCTGGCCAGCACACCAGGTTCAAGGCGTTTGTTGCTATTGGGGACTACAATGGCCACGTCGGCCTGGGTGTTAAGTGCTCCAAGGAGGTGGCCACCGCCATCCGTGGGGCCATCATCCTGGCCAAACTCTCTATTGTCCCCGTGCGCAGAGGCTACTGGGGGAACAAGATCGGCAAGCCCCACACCGTCCCTTGCAAGGTGACGGGCCGCTGCGGCTCTGTGCTGGTGCGCCTCATCCCTGCACCCAGGGGCACTGGCATCGTCTCAGCGCCTGTGCCCAAGAAGCTGCTCATGACGGCTGGTATCGATGACTGCTACACCTCAGCCCGGGGCTGCACTGCCATCCTGGGCAACTTCGCCAAGGCCACCTTTGATGCCGTCTCTAAGATCTACAGCTACCTGATCCCCGACCTCTGGAAGGAGACTGTATTTACCAAGTCTCCCTATCAGGAATTCACTGACCACCTTGTCAAGACCCACACCAGGGTCTCTGTGCAGCGGACCCAGGCTCCAGCGGTGGCTACAACATAGGGTTTTTATACAAGAAAAATAAAGTGAATTAAGCCTGAAAAAAAAAAAAAGTTGTGGGTTCACAGACAAGATTCTGATGTTCTGGGTCTATTGCTGACCTTGTCATTTACTGTATGAGGTATGACAACCTGCGCTGGGATCCCTTCTCTATCATTGAAATCTTGGTGACTTTGGGCAGGCTACTCAAGCTCTCTAAAGCCTCTTTTCATCAAATGTGAAAAGATAATAGCATATACTTTTAGCATATACTTCAAAGATGATTGCATTTAGCATAGTGGTAGGCACATAGTAAATGCTCAATATATATTAGTTATTAACACCAAATAATGTTAAAATAGGGAAGAATAATTAACACATCTAGGAATCAGGTCTGCTTCTTATGAAAGAATCATTCAGATGCTCAAATAAGATTCTATTAATTAAATGCGGATGTTAGAAAATGCTGTCTCTGATAGAAGGCATAAACTATAAGGAATTTACGATATTTTGGAATACAAAACAGCTAAATTTACTTATAAGCATAAATGTCTTTTAAGATAGTATGTTACTAAACAAGAAGTTATTTATCTTAACTATAGAATTAGGATGAGGCTGCTAGTGAATGAATTTGTTTTTCCTTGGTAAGATGTCAGCAGAATTGAAAACAGGTGTTCAAACAATGTCTCGTGTACAAATGCTCCTAGCAGCATTATTCACAACAGCCAAAACTATTATTTTGGGTGGAAACAACCCAAATGTCCAACAACTGATAAGTGGATAAACAAAATGTGATATATTTACATAATGGAATATTATTTAGTCATGGAAAGAAATGAAGTATACATGCTACAACATGGATGAAGCTTAGCAACATTATACTAAGTGAAAAAAGACAAAAGACCATATATTGTATGGTTTCATTTATATAAAATATCTGGAAGAGGCTACTCCACAGAGACAGAAAGTAGATTAGTGGTTTCCAGGGTCTGGGGGAAGAAAGAAAGGAGGAGTAACTGTTTGATGGAAATGGCTTTTTCTTTTAGGGCAATGGACAGGTTCCAGAACCAGGTAGTGATGATGGTTGCACAACAGGGTTAAAATGATGAATGTTTGGTTATGTGAATTTTTTAAAGGTTAAAAAAATTATTTCAAAAAATCAGCAGATGTTTACATTTACGTGAGATGTATCTGCATAGATCAGTTGACCCCTGGTCATGTGTGTGCTATGAGACAAGCCTTTGTTGCATGCTGAGGAGAATACCAAAAAATGGCAAGATGCAGCCTTCAGCACCTTGCCAGTCTGTTTATGAGGAAAGGAAAGGAGGAGGAAGCAGGTAATCTGTTCCAAGTGAATCCATCTCAGAAGGAGAGAGCACCAGATTTGGTGACCAGAGAAGGCTTCTTGGAAGAGATGGGACCTTGAAAGATGAGTGAGCTTCATGTAATCACAGAAGAGGAGAGAGTAGCCCAGTGGCAGAAATGAACAACCCTGGGGAGGGAGAGGAGTATGGGCAAGGACAAGCAGGGATGGCCAGACTAAAGGATTTGTATAATGGAATATCAAGAGATAAGATTGGGGTCGGGCGCGATGGTTCATGCCTGTAAGCCCAGCACTTTGGGAGGCCAAGGTGGGCGGATCACTTGAAGTCAAGAGTTTGAGACAAGCCTGGCCAATATGGTGAAACCTAGTCTCTACTAAAATTCAAAAATTAACTGGGCATGGTAGTGTGTGCCTATAATCCCATCTACTCGGGAGGCTGAGACAAGAGAATTGCTTGAACCCAGGAGGCAGAGGTTGCAGTGAGCCAAGATTGCATTACCACACTCCAGTCTGGACAACAGAGCGAGACTCCGTCTCAAAAAAAAAAAGTAATAAGGTTGGAAGTGTAGGTTGGAGCCAAGCAGGGAAGTCGTGGAAAGCTGGCTGCCAGTGCTTAAACTCACCAGGCAGTAGATAACAAAGGCTTATCATTGATGATAAGAATAGAAAATGAAATAAAATGGGGAAGATAATAAGGAGACTATTGCAGTAATTTCACTAATTGTAACACAACCCATCATTATTTATTCGGTAAATATTGATTAAGCCCTCATTATACTCCATGCAATCTTCTATGCTAGGGACAGGGCAATATCTAAGATCAAACACATTTCCTGTCCTCCTGGAGTTGCATTCTAGTACACATTTCAAGCATTGACTTCTATGTCAAGTGGACAAATGTAGTTGAAAAGTTAAGGGGTGGATGTATTAGAATGTAGTGGGACATGGGTCCTAGAATCAGATTTCTTGGCTTTGAATCCTGGCTTCTGATTGTTGTTAACTGAATGTATGGCCATGAGCCATTTACTCTATGCTTCAGTTTCCTTATAATTTAAGAGGGGATAATTATGGTAGCTCTTTCACAGAGCTGTTATGAAGTTTAATTGAGAAAATAAATGAAAAGGACTTAGGATAGTACCTGGCATGTGGCAAATGCTCATTAGGGCTTTCTTGTTTTTTGTATCTGAGTTTTTAATTTCTACTCAACGATTTGTCTCGGTCACTTCTGTTTTTAATGGAGTGAGTCTATTTCAGAATCTTGGCTTATTGTATCTCAGGT